AAGTCCTTGTAAGTAACCTTTTGTGGTTAGAGTAACATTTGTTGTCCTTGGCAGACAGTTTTGAAAACAAAGTGAAATAGGACATTGATGAGGATGACAATACATTCCAGTTTCATCCTCTACAGAAACAAGTTGGGATTGAACATGTCTATCGTAGTGTTGCCTAGGGGTACATTAGGGGCACCCCTAAATATAAAGATACTTGTCCTTCTAGAAGTAGATACATGGATAAGCCAGATCAAATGTATTTTTTCCGTTAGTTCAGATAAATTTTTTCAAAGTTGATTTGGAAAAAAAAAACCAATTCCTTCAAGCTAATGTCTTTTCAAATATGGAAGTGACTGCTTACAAATGGTAAGAATTCTGCCAATGTATTTTGAATTACATATTTTTGAAAAATAATAACAATTTTGTTCAAAAAATAAGTATAGTGCTTACTATGTTCATTGGTTTTCTTTAGTTACAAGAATTTGAAGCTGCCATTAAACAAAGAGATGGCATCATAACCCAGCTCACTGCTAATTTACAACAAGCAAGAAGAGAAAAGGATGAGACAATGAGAGAATTTTTAGAGTTGACAGAACAAAGTCAAAAATTACAGATTCAATTTCAGCATGTAAGTATTACTAATAGAACAAAATTTATTAGTTTTTTAGTAATACTAAAAAAATTTTTCACTTTTAAGAACAAGTGTGAATTTGTCAAAAAGCCATTTGCGTATTAATCATGTTGGAAAAGCTAGTTGAATATGTGTTATGTCAACCAGGAATTTAATTCATACTTCTTGTGTTGCTTTCTGCTACTGTTTTATCTGTACTTCTTTCCTGTCTTTTTTGAAATCCTACAAAACCTTATAAGGCTGATTGAGAGAATTTTTGCAGAAATTAAACTGTAGTCACATCCTACTTTTGCCAGTGCTGGTATGGTTTTATTTTAGTTAGTTTCTAAAATGGTAACTAGACTGAATATATTCCATTTACCTTTAATTAGAGCCACAGTAATCTAATTGCATTAATCAGGGTTTCTGATGGCAAATAACAGAAAACAATTTGAAATAGTTTAAGCAAAACAGAGGAATTTAGTGTAATGATACAGGCTTGTCTTACAGAACTCAAAGACAAAAACACAACCAGGCCTCTGAAAGGGACTAGAACTAGAAACTGGAAAGTCCTCGGGAACCCAGGAAATACTGTTTTTTAGGCCTCACGTCTCTCTGCATGTCTTCCTCAGTCATATTTCTCTTAGGAGATCTCCTTTCTCTGCTGTATCAAGGGAAAGATAATATTGTTTCCTTGTAATGTGCCTATTATTACCCAATCAGCCAGGGCAGTATGTTTGCTGGGATTTCAAGCCTGTGAAGCCAGGGAAGTTCCCAGAGAGCCATTGTGGGCTGAGTAGTACCCTAAACGATATCTATTAGTATTCTCTAAGGCAGTCACTTCAGAAATTAATGTTTTGATGTTTCTTTCTGTTTTCAAGTTACAGGCTAGTGAAACTCTGAGAAACAGCACTCATAGTAGCACAGCTGCAGATTTACTACAAGCTAAACAACAAATCCTTACTCATCAACAACAGCTGGAAGAACAAGACCATCTATTAGAAGATTATCAAAAAAAGAAGGAAGACTTCAAAATGCAAATTAGTTTCTTGCAAGAGAAAATTAAAATATATGAAATGGTATGTTTATTTTAAGGATGTCATCCAACTTATAGCAGCTTTGCAATTAACTTTAAAGCTTTAATGAAAGTGTTTATCTTTTTGTTATTCACGTGAATCACAAAATTTCATAATTAAAACAAACTCTTTATGTAAAATAATTTGTTTCAAAAGCAAATGTGAATCTTAGTCATAAGAGTTTTTAAGTAATACTCGTTACTGAATTCCATAAAAGTGATCAACCTATGTTAAACTGAATTCACAGGAGGATCTAAATTTATAATTAGAGTTTCTGTCCTTTTTTGTCATCTAAAGGTATTTCCACTTATTTTAGCCATCATTGTGAAATTCTGAAAATATTTTCACAACAAAATGAAATTTTATGGATTTATTTAGGAAAAAATAAATGCAGTCGATTCTCTTTATTCGCGTGACTTATGCTCTATAAAGTGGCTAGGAAGACTTATTTAATTTAGCAAGTAAGTGCTTCTGTGGGGGGAATATATATATATATATATGTATCTCAGGTTATAATCTTAAATCCTAAAAACAATTCATCCTGGTAGATTTATTTTCTTTATTCTTTAAAAGAGAAATTGAAGTTCAGAAGTGACTAGCCTGAGGCTACCCTGCTAACAGATGCCAGAGTTGGGATTCAAATCCTGTTAACTGGCCCAGAGCCAGACCTTCTTGCACTACACTTCACTGCCTCCTACGGTCTCTATCCTCTGGTCTTTTCTGTATGAGAGCTGAAACAGGCCAACTGTAGTTGTTTTCTTTGACCTCAGCTGGAAACGTGTGCCCAGCAACTAAAATTTTTTTGTCACTCTGTCCATGTTTACAAATGACTGTGAAAGCACCATGAGTATTGATTTTGGGGTTACAAATAAATTTTAACAAGAATTCACAAATAAGAAATCTGCAAAAAATAAGGATGGATTGTACATGTAATATAGTACTTTTTATAAACGTAAGAGGTTCTTCTGTGAGAAGTTGAGTAATTACCAAGACAAGAATATTGTTTGGATAATAATAAATTAGCATTAAGTGTTTACTCTATAACAGGCAATATTCAAAGCATCTTACACATGTTAACTTATTGAATCATCACCACAACTTTGCGTAATAGAAGTACCATTATCACCCCTATTTTACAAGTAAGAACACTTGCAAGACAAAGCAAGATGAAGTAAATTGTCCACATACCCAGGTAATAAGTTGACAGACAACCTAAGTTTGAACTCTCATTCTGATTCCGGAGACTGCTTTTGGAATAATAGGAAATGCACAAATTAAAGACATTGAAATTATGAAAAAGACATGCTTTACAGCTAAAGTAATTTAAAAATTATTAGGTAAATCTTTATAGGATATCTATTTAGTAGCAGGCCCTTGCAAGAGACATAGTGATACTTAGAATTGTACTTTCCTTCACTAGAACTTATGGTTTAGTAGGGGAGCTTTGGCATGTGCACAAGAAACCAAAAAACAAGGATAAATGTAGGTAAAAAGTGTTTTGAAGGTTCTGAGTAGGTCTGGCTTCATGAGGGAAGATACTCAATGTAGGCTTTTGGGAGGAGGTGATACTTGAGGGAGGTCAGTAAGTGGGAACAGTCCCTTTTTAATTGTATTTTGCTTCTCCAGCAATTAGAATAATGTATGGAACATAGTAACTACCCAACACTTACTTGGTAGACAAGTGAATAAGTGGTGAATCTCAACTGGTAGAGATGGAGAAGACAGTTTAGACATGAGTGTGGAGTGGACATAAAGACCCAGGCGGAAACATGTTGAAAATGGGTAGAGAGCAAAAAATAGTGTAATTGATCTAGAAAACAATAATCTTTGAAAATGAGTCTTTCCAGGAGGTAAGAGTAGAAATATAGTCTTGGCCTCGGTAAGAAGAGCTTGGAAATTGTATTATATTTATTATATTCAGTAGACAGCATAATTTGAGATTATTTAAAATTCAAGTAATTCATTTTAGTCGGGGAATAACCGTCGTTTATTTGAATGTTAGCAAGAGTACTTTTATCAGTCTTTTTCATTATATATGTTTTAATTACTCATTTTTTAAAAATTAATCTTTCATGAATAGTAGTTCTCTCAGAGCAGCTGAGGAACTAAGGCATTAGGGTCACAATTGAAACTGTTTTAGTCCCCTAGACAACTGTATTGATGGTCAGAGCTCATTCTCATTGGCCAAATCCTCCAGACTTCCCATGGTGCAGTAGGCACAGGCAGGAAGTATGTTATTCTCCACATTCTCAGGTGTATTTCCAAAAAAATAGAGGGATTGTGACCTCAACTATAGGGCACACAGAATAAGTGGTTTAAAACCATGTACTATGACATATGGGTACTAAGAAAAATAAACCATGAATTTATAATGTTTAATAGTTGAATGAAGAATTGTTTCTTGTTTGTAATTATATCAGGTGTTGGACAATTTTGAATTAAGTGATACTGTTAGCTTCCCCCCACCTGTAGAAAATTAGGAAATAGAAAAGTTAGATTTTGTGACAGCGTTAACATTTTTCAAAACTAGTTACTTATTTAACAATTTAACTGGAATTGACCACCATGAACTAATTTTACTTTCTAATACTTATTTTCCAAATGCCTTGGAGATTTATTTTTAAGATATAAACATATTTGTATATAGAACAATAAGAATAAAATACCTCAATATACAGTATTTGTTTTATTTTAGCCTCAAGCATATTCTTTGAGATAGAGAAAATAATATTCTCTGTTGTGCAGATGAAAACACTGGGATTAAAAGATTCAGCTGACTTACTAATGTCATAGTGTAGTGCAGAAATTGAAGGAGGCTCAGTACTTGGTAATAACACATGGTAACATTGATGGAATATGTGACACCAAAACAAAGGTGGTAGAATTTCACTAAAGAGGCTGCACAGGACAGCATTCATTAGCTTGGTTAATTTATATAGCGTAGAATCTGGCCTTCGATTTATAGGCTCAAAAGTCTGTTTTTATTTTTCCTTTCAACTGAGACTTGAGCTATCTCAGAGGAGAACTCAGATTTTCCAAGTTCAAGAGACTAATGTTTAAAGCTTGAATAAAATTATTAATTTATAATGAGAAATAATTATCACAGGGACCTATATATTTTAAGTTTATTGGATTTTATTTTCTTTCCATGGA